CAAGTGCGTTAGTTTACCAAAAACATGAATGTGTGACTTTGCCTGAGCTAATCCTTTCTTAGGATGGAAGCTGGCGCTATCTCATTGGGAAGGATGTGGTCACCTTGTATATATCTGAGAACATTGCATGTTAGTTTGTATGGGTCTTGGCTTTCTTTCCCTTGTTTGGAAAGAGAAAAGGAACATCAGAGTCCTGGGCTGAAGTCAGTTCACTGGGCAAAGCACATAAATCATGAAAGTGTTTCCTCCACAGGTACCCCTCCAATGATTGCTTTACAAACCCACCCAATCCTGGACTCCCTCCATCCAACGCTTTAGACATTGCAGAAATGTGGACCACAGGATAGAAACTAGTCTGGAGCCATCTTTCAAATGTTCAGTGCTGACATGCTTTCAAGTGCCAACACGGGTCACCTACCTTGTACCAGTTTAGAGCAACAAATACTTTCTAGGGGCAATAGAAAATGTGATGGGGGAATGTGGATGATAGTTGAGCCGTCAACAGAGGAAGGAAGAGGATTGCTCTGGAGAAACAAAATGTAGCACACTTAGAAACAAGCTCTCTAGTTTGTGGTGTTGCAGGAGGTTGGGGGAGAGTTGTGATTGTTGTACTTCATTGAAAAGTTCTGGCATGTGATATATGGGACAGTCTATTGGATCCAAATGGAAAGGATGCCTTATGAAATATCATGCCTATAACATTTTATCTCATTTGTCAGAGAAAAATAAAGCAAGAATCCAAACCTCTGAAGGTCATCCTTTACTCCCAGTGTGATTATTTTTTACTTCACTAAAATCAGTTAATTTGGAAGCGAGTCAGACCGTGTGAGAGCAGGATGGCTGTAGCCTCATCAGACAGTGAGACAGGAGATCAACACAGCTGTGGAAGCGGCTCCAGCTGGGCAGATTCTCATCACAGGAGAAGAAATCATGATCATCACGAGGGGAGGATACCGAGATACAATAATTGGCTCCTATAAGAGCTACATAAAATCGGTGCCAGGTCCCTAAGATTATAAAGCAGTTGAGTATCAACATGGATGGGATTTGGGCTATTCTTATATCTCTTCCTGTAAATGCAAATATTACTTTCTTTGAAAATGGGGCACATAAAGTCTCATTACTCCCAAGCAACAGATACATCTCATGATGAGATTTTTTTGTGTGTATAATATATTTATTTGCATACAGAAATATGTATTTCTATTGTACATTTTATTATTTTATTTATAGAATATATATGTATATATATATATATATATGTAGGAAGCATACAGCATATTCCTGAAAGATACATTAAATATGCACACAGTTCATGCTACAGCGCGCACCCTTTTGAGAGAAGCGTATTGAAGAGGCATGGTACTGTATATACATGCTGAAAATACACATTGCACAAGTTCATCCAGCTGTGGGTGCTTTCCTAATCTATTTGTAACACTAGTGCTATGGTTGTTGAAAAGAATATTATCAAATTGAAGAGGGGAGACAGCTAGCGATGAGCTAAAAGTAAAAAAGTAAAAGCAGGTGGCATTGCACTGTGAAATTTAACACTGTATTTGCCATCATTTCAACCTCTCACATTGCCTAATATCATGTCTTCAGGATTGAAAAACCAGTGAATGAATAAAGAGCAGGAGGAGGGGGACCTGTAACTTCTACCTGTAAAATCAGACAATGTATCCTTTGAGGCTTTTTATATTGGAGACTTTTCCTAATACTTGTTTCTGGCATTAGATGAAAGATGAACCAATAAAAAAGTTATCATTTTTTCCAAGTAATGAATGGCCGTGTTCATATTCTCAATCCTTTCTCTGATAAGACCACTCTGGTAAATCTACATTATTGCTATGTGGAGAGAAGAAATTAAGATTGGTACATATTGGCATGCTTAGTGAAAGCAAGGGAGATGAATCATATCATTTCTTAACAGGCTCTTCGTTATTTTGGAAAGGAAAAGTAGCATTTTCTGATAGAAATTGATCATACCAACTGCAACCATTTGGATGGGCAAATGTTACCATCTCTTCATTAAGATACTGATATCAGTGGGCTGTTTGCATGGTCTGGTGATTTTTAATATCTTGCTGTGGACCTAACAGGTGAATTACAGATCAATCAGCATCAATGGAGGAATGTTTCTAGCACATGATTGGTGAGTATTATGTTGTTGTTGTTTTTTCCCCTAGCAGTTGTGCAATCTCCACTGATATTCTAAAAATGATGAGGGATTATTTTCCCACTTACAAGAAGAAAACTCTACACTTTCTTCAGTATAAATAAGAGTTTGTCAGCCTTGGTATTACTGACATTATTTGTTAGCAACATTTTTTTTGTTTGGCAGGAGTAGGGAACCAGTCCTATGCACGTGAGCCTCTGTAGTTGCATTCATGATCCCCGCAACCCACAAGATGCAAGTGTCTTCCTTCAATCATCAATCAAAGATGGCTTCAATATACCACTAGATGTCCCTTGAGGGAAAATGTTCTCCAGCTGGGAGTCACAGGAATGCAAATCCAGCCACGCTCAACGTCAATCTTTCAATATATTCTCCATATTTCTCCAATCGGCTGCAGGGTCCCTTCCATTTTTTCTAATTCTGGTTGGGAAGGTGTTCATGGGATGTCAGCCTCTCTTTCATTCTTGTCTTGAGTGTGGCAGTTTCTCTTTCAATAAAGTTGTGGTGGCTATATGTGGAAAATACCAGAAGGAAGAAAGGAAAAGATACAATGGCAACGGAGAGAAAGTAGCAATTTCATTCATGGTGGGTTGGTGTTAGAGCAAATACAAAAAGACCCTGAATCCCCAAGGGACTCATCCCAACCTAAGCCAAGTCTACAGCACAATAATGCAAATACATGAAAAAGTGAAGCAGTTGGCCAACCGATTATTTTCTTTGGAAGAAACTAAAAAGCTCCATGGCTCCATGATTAATTTTTTTTAAAAAAGAAACACTATAAAACTAAATGTGGCTCTAAAATGTAGTTATAATGTAGCAATTTCAGAAAAAAATCAGTATGATTTGATGTTATAATTTATATATGTAAGATTTTGTGAAAACAATGGAATTTATTGAAAAAAGAAGCCAGGAAAGATATATTCAGTACATAGGTTGTTGATAATTGGACTCTTATAGCTACATTGTTATTTCCTTTGTGCTTATCAAAAAAGAACAAACCAAAAAAATCAAAATTCCCAAATTGCTTTTGTTATTTTGTCATACAAAACAATCTAATTAAAGTTGGAGGCTTCTGATAATGGACAAATTCATCAAGTCACATACATCAATATCACTGGGCAAGCTATCATAAAACCCATATATCTAAAATGCAGAATATGACATTCAGAAGGACATTTTTAAGTTTAATTTCTATCAATGGGACTTTCTTTAGAGAAATGAATTGGAAGGAAATACCAAATAGTGGAAGAAAAAAAATTATGAGAGGTGAAAACAAATACTTAAAATACAACCCTATGTTTATTTCAATCAAATAGATGTCCCTAACATAGATAAAATAAGATATAATATGAACATGTAGATAATTATTTCTAAGGAGAAATCTTAATGGTTGAATTAGGTGGTCAGAAATGATGTGAAAATGGCCACCTCCTATGTTCTGTCAGATTTAGTGAGCTTCTTTTGCTTCTGTTTGGTTTATCTACTACATTTTGGTCAGAAACATTACTAAAATTCTAGAGATCAGAGGATTTAAAAGTTGAATTATCTTAGAAAGAATGGTCGCTATGAGGAGTATGGAATTTGTAGATTCAGGAGATGCTCTAGTATGTAGCAGAATGGTTATTGACAACCTCACAGGAATATAATTTGCATATCATCTGCCAGCAGGCATTGACTAGATTTGATTCTCTTGGGCCTGGCCCAGTACCTGAATCTTACTTAGGATTGTAAACGAATAAAGCTATATCCTTTTCCTGCTGACAAAGTCAAGCGTTCCTGTCCAACTTAACATCTCATACATGGAACAGGAAGATTCAGAGTCAAAGAGAATATCCTTAAGTTTTCCCATTTTCTCACTTCTAAATCCATCCACAAACTTATTCTAACTGGACTGTTGATAAAACCTTAGTTTGAGAATGACTTTGGTTTCTCAACCAAGTTAGGTAGACTCTTAGAATAGTTACCTATTAGAATTTTGTTAGAATAAAAGGCTAGTTAGAAGAAAACCAGCTTTGTAAAAACATACCCCAAAAGGATAAGTGAATTAAGTCCTTATATGATTTTTATACCCTAAAGAATGCCATGACACAGTGGGGAACAATGAAGTGTCCATTTTCATGTCTGTGTCTAGTTGGATTTAGTCTAAACCTGGCAGGTATCACTTGTGCACAAAACAGGGAAGTATAAAACCTAATGTCAGCACTAGGGGGAAAAATCCAACAGTAGTGACATGACCTAGTTGGGGGTTTTGTCTGTTTGCTAGCTTTTTGTGTTGAGAAAAGGAAAAGCTGGATAGAAAAAAAATCCAAAATAGGTAGAGTAGAAGATGTTCTAACTAACATTCTGGGGACAATCTCTGCCTCTTCTTTGACTTATTTCTTCATTGTACAGTATGTATTTCTTTTATGTCAAGTCTCATTGTTAGCAGGTTACCATGTTGTTTCATCCTCATATGGGCACATGAGCACAATAAAAAAAAAAGAAAAAGAAAAGGGACGAGGTTATTCTTCTAGTGCAAAAACTGATAGGATTCTAGATTCAGAAGCCCTTCTTCGTTGGAGTGCTTGATGGTATAGATTGTTCCTTAATATCCCACAATTCTGACACGTCTCCTCCAGTGTCTTACTGCTTCCAAACTAACAGGGTTTTGGTAAGGTGCAAGTTCTCTTCGAACAGGAGCCTGGGTAACCATCCCTTCCTCACGGCTGAGCGCCTCCACCCAAAGAGCACAACGTGCAACAGCAGGACTTTAACAACCAGGAGCTCTTTGATCCATGTAATCCTTCCCAAGCTCTCCCCTTTCGTTCTGGTCAGAGATGCTTTACCTGGTAGCGCCTATGTTCTTGTAGTGACACATGAGCAGGTGTTTAAAGGTCTTCTTGAAGGTGGCATTACACAGTGCATAGCAGGCAGGGTTGATGGTGCTGTTGATGTAGCAGAGCCAGTAGCCAATGGTCCACACCGTGTTGGGGATGCAGGGTGCACAGAAGGTATTGATGAGCACCATGACATTGTAGGGGGCCCAGGTGATAATGAACGCCAACAGAATAGCCAAGATCGTCCTGGTCACTTTCTTCTCGCGGGAAGGAGGAGGCTTCTTTTTGGCTGGCTGTTTGGTCATCTTCACAATCTTACGGGCTACCATGTTCTGTTTCTCCTCTCCATTAGGACCCGCGGACCCGACGAGTTCCACAGTAGCATTGGTCGGCGCGCACGAGTCACCTTTTTGGGTCTTGGTGACAATTTTGATGCACGTTTGCTTGGAGTTCTCATCTTTGGAATGGCCCAGGGAAGTGGAAACTGTGTTTTCGTCCTGGGTGACCTCCTCATCTCTCAGGTTGGAGGCGACGGCGCTGACAGAGGTGGAGTCGTTCGAGCTCTCTTTGTCCTCGCCCTGGACGCAGTTGGCGGTCCCGGGGTCCCTCTGAGACTTGCCGTTCTGGATCTTGTCGTGCTCCAGGCCACCATCGCCGCCGGCCGGGTTGTGGTTGTTGGGCTTCACGATCCTTCCTTGCACGAGGCTTGGTGACACTGGGTCCTGGTTGGCTACGGGCTCCTTCTTCTCCTTCTTGATCCTGCTCTTGCTGGCTCGGGATATATGCCAGTAGAGCACGCTCATGATGATCACGGGGAGATAGAAGGCCGCGATGGCGGTGCCGAAGGTGACGGCGGCATTGGAGAAGAACTGAATGTAGCATTCCCCATCCTCCACAGTTCTCACCCCTACAATGAACTGCCAGAAGAGGATGGCCGGAGCCCAGAGGATGAAAGAGAGGACCCAGGCAGCCGCGATCATCATCCCTGCCATTTTCGTGGTCCGCTTAACGGGGTAGGTCAGGGGTTTGGTGACACAGAAGTACCTGTCGAAGCTGATGATGAGCAGGTTCATCACCGAGGCGTTGCTGACCACATAGTCCAAGGCTAGCCACAGGTCACACACCACAGGTCCCAGAGGCCAGTAGCCGATCACAGTGTAGAGGGTGTACAAGTTCATGGAGAAAACCCCGATGATGAGGTCTGCACAGGCCAGGCTGAACAAGAAGTAGTTGTTGACGGTCTGGAGGTGGCGGTTGACTTTAATGGAAACCATGACCAGGATGTTCCCGATGATGGTCACCAAACTGAGGGACCCAGCCACGAGGACAATAAATACCACTTCAAATGTCTTATAAGGACTGGCAAGAGCCAAGCCATTATTAGAGGAGTTTGTTGAGTTATTCATTTTGTGTTCAACCAAGTGGCCAAATAAACATTTAAACCTGCAGGGAAATAGAAAAACATCAATGAATATGCTAGAAGCATATTGTCTTTTAACACTCTCAGATGCCTTCTTCGTATTGAATGGTGATTCTCTCCCCAAATATTTCTCCTCCTATTTACTATGGCTACCTAAAAGAGAAACGAAACAACTTTAAATGAGGATTCGAAAAAGCTTTCCAACCTGGAAGTCTTAATATTATGGTGAATGATTCCTTATATAGATACAAGTGACTGACTGTCAGTCTGTCTGTGTCACTGATGAGCAAAGTAAAATTTCTTGCCAAAACTTTCCAACATCTCCTGAGGCTTGTGGGATGGGCATAAAAATTAATAAACCAGTGGGAAGAAAAAGTTATAGAAGAAAGCATAAAACAGTATATATTTTTATATACTTTTCTTCTTGGTAGTTATAAGCCTTTCTCATAGTAACATTAATGAGGGAGATAATAAAACAATATAACAATACTTTATTGGCCAATGCACTTACCCAAAGAGAATTATGTTCTTTGACCTCTGCTTTGCACTTCTCATCATTTCCACCTAATATTAGCCCTAGACTTTCCAATATTCTATATCGTGCAAGAGAATCATTGGCTATTAATTTACATTGACAATACTGTGCTAATTGTCCAAATGTGTCTTTTTTCACATTACTTTTATATGTAGTATTTCTGCCAATCCTTTTTCTTTGATGAAGAAGTAACAGAAATATATGTTCACATACAAGTTCATTAATAGTAATTAAAACATTCAACAGGGGCTGGGAAGGTGGCTCAGTGGTAGAGCGCTTGCCTTGCATGCATGAGACCCTGGGTTCAATTCCTCAGCACCACATAAGCAAAAAGAAAAAAAAGCCGGAAGTGGCGCTGTGGCTCAAGTGGTAGAGCGTTAGCCTTGAGCTGAAGTGTTGAGGGACAGTGACCAGGCCCAGAGTTCAGGCCCCACGACCGGACCCCCCCCAAAAAAAATAAATAAATAAAACATTGAACAATTCAAGCTTTCATGTTGTCTTCACATCCTATTGAGCATTTTCTCCCAATTAGACATTGTGATATGATACAGTCAAAGAAGTGAGATTCAGACAAAGTTTCTACTTATGAGAGGCAAAACTCTGGTGGAAGACAGAGGTTAATAAAGAACCATCATGAAACCCAAACATATATTCTGATGACTAATTTGACTGGTCTTAAGTAAACCGGTCATTATCATATTTCAAATGATCTCATCAAAGTCTGGTGACAACTGAGTGATCTTCCCAAAGGGAGTTAAGTATGGTGGGGACTCCAAATAGAAAGTCAAAGGTACTTGACACAGCCATGATGTTTCTGTTGAAAGGGCATCTGCAGGAAAAGCTAGCCCAAGTTTTACTTCTTGACGAAATTGCTGTAAGCTCCTTGTCAGAAAATAAGAAATACTATAGACATTGTTCCTTGTCGCGTCAAGATTCAGAAAGCTCTACTAATTCTGATATAGCTACTTGTAAAGTAATGAGATACAGGATAGGCAAGTTGCTCTTTAAATCCATGGGAAATAATATTTTGGTAAGCTTTTTCACAGCATAAATAACATTCAAACAAATGATTTAGTCTACTCCAGAAAGCAATTTCTCTTCAATAATAATGCCTTAATAATAGAGGTCTGGGAGTTTTTAATTCCCATTTCCTGAAAAACGGAATGTGTCTTATTTTTCTATTTTTCCCTATTTTAACCCTATTATTCTAAAATCCTTGCTAAATTTCCTTTAATAAAACCCCGAATTCTGGAGACATATATAGAAAAAATGAACACTATGTTATTTTTGCAGTTTGTTTTGCATAGAAAAATCAGAATACATATCAAAGAAATATTTTAAAAACATGTAATTAAAATTACCCATTTTTCTTAATATAAAGGTGCTTGGAAAAAAGTAAAACACTACTAATCTAAAACACTGGTGTTCTAGATTCATCAAAGAAAAATTAAATGTTAATGACTTTCAAATATAATAAATGATATTTGACCTAATTGTAAATATGGAAGCCCAAATGAATGGAAGTAATTTGCTACGCATGATGGGTTTTTGTTGTTGTTGTTTTGTTTGTGTGCCAGTAGTGGAGTCTGAACTCAAGTCCTTATGTTCTCACTTGGCTTTTTCCACTCGCTGGTTCTCTACCACTTAAGCCACATGTCTAATTCTGGATTTTTGCTGGTTAATTAAAAACAAGAGCTTCACAGACTTTGTTATCCAAGCTGGCTTCCAATGTGATACTCAAATATCAGCCTCCTGAGTAGATAAAATTATAGATATGCCCAGATTCTCATTATATTTGGGGTAAGTATGGTTGAACAGTTTTTCCTAGGACTATTGGAGTAACATCTATTGCAGACAATTTATTCATATTTATAACAATGTTTAACTTTTTCTGTAAACATTTAAATTTTACTTAGAAATTCCTTTGTTGAGGATGCTTACATTGAGTTATCTCTCTTGAAATGTAGCTCTAAAAATGTGTGAAGAGGTTACTCAAGAGCACACATTCAATAATGTTATACCCCCAAAATACTAAAAACAATTCCATTCATTGACATAGACTTAGTTAATATATTATTATTTAACTCCATAATACATTACACTGTAATACTGCATAGAAGTTAAATGAATGTGTGTGTAAGAGAGAGAGAACAAAAGAGAATGTGAAAATGAGAGTATGTGTGTCTTGGCTTTTCCATAGAGAGTTGTATAGTGATATGATTATGAGATTATATTCTCAAAGAAAGGTACAGATTATTATAGAATGCAATTATTTTGTGCAATAAGGTCATTGTATAATACTATATATAATTATGGCACACAAAATATCATAACCCCTTTCTTTCCTCCCACTCTCTGTTTCTCTCTCCCTCTCCTCCCTTTCTCTCCTCCTTCCTCCTCTAATTCCCTCTTCCATCTCTTTTGGCAACCCAAAAATGAGGGTCTTTGCTCTGCCCACTCTTCTACCATGATGTTCTGCCCCCACTCCTAGCCTCCAAGCAAGGTGCTGACTGACCATTAACTGAACTGGCCATTTGGGATGGGAACTTCAAAGCAATTTCCTTACTGATGGCCCTGGAGCCAGCAGTCATCTGGAGCTGGTCCTTCTTCATTTTCTTTCTCTGAAGTGTTATCACACAGAGATTCTGGCAGATGGGGGTGTCTAAGGTCTACAAGGCAAAAACATCATTACAAACTCAGAGCCAGCTGAGAACTGGGAGAGTGGCACATCAGAAAAGGCTGGTCAACCTCCCAGGATAGACTGAGAGGAAGGTTGCTGGGCTACATTGCATCTTTGCAGGTGGATTCAATCTCATCCTGGATTTGGAGTGGACTGTACATCCAATGATGAGTGGCTGGTAAGAAGAGACAAGTGGAGGAGACGCCATGTAAAGACAGAAGAAATTGGATGAATATCCCCCCAAACCAAAAAGATACAGGGGTTTTGGGCAGCTGTGAGGTACCAGAGGAATGAGACATGGAGTAGATTTTTCTCTCTGAGCCTCTGCCAGGAATCATCCCTACCAGCACCTTAGATTTTGACTGCCCATCTCTAGAACTGTGGGATGACACACTTCTCTTCCTGCAAACACATGAGCCTTAGAAAAATAGTACAAGGGAGATGGGCAGAAAGGCTTCAGAGGGACACAGTCCCTTTGGCCCCAGGGATCCCTGAGGGTGAGAAAGAAAGGGTAACTGTACAAGGGGTCAGTGACATCATCATAGTGCTTTTTGTTCCCATAGTGCCTCAGGTTCTTCCTATTCAAATGTTTATTCCCACAATTCCCTTGGTGTTTGCTCAACCAATGAAAAGAGACAGCGCAGAGCATCATCAAGTAAGCACTGCAAATGCCAGGAAGGAGGTAGGGATGAGTGTGGTGCTATAGAAGCCACCCTCCCAGAGGCCTCCATTGGATTCTTCTTCAGACCTCTCCTCCTGATACAGTTTCCACTACTTTCTTTCATTCTTTTCCTTTCACTTCCAAATAAACTTATTGTGTTTAATTTAAAACATAAATGACATAGGGATATCTAGGGATAGGCCTGTAGATCACGGAACATGATATTAATGGAATATAACTCTTTATCAGTGGGATTATTTCAGTAACATTTCTTTCCAACAGTTATTCATTATTCATCCAACTTATTTAAACAAACATGATTTCACTAAACCATTTAATATTCCAATGATACCTTCCTAACTCATAGGAGGAAGCCTGAATCCAGGGAAGAAAATTAGCAAAGAAAGCTTCTTGGAACTCTTTTTCATTTCTTGCCTTTTCCCTTACCATCTGTCTTGTGTGATTATGTTTTTTTTCTCTCCTAGATTATATATAATAGGTTATTCCCCATTGCCACAGCCCTGTCCGGTGGTGGGTGATAGGTTCAGAGCACTGATCCTGAAATTTGAATGTTCAGAAACACAGGAGATTGACTTGCCTATACCAAGTCTGCATCTTATCTGGTGTCAAAAATATTCTGCAAGCAATGTGTGAGTTTTTCCCATTTAGGAAATTGCAGTATGGAATGGTAGATTTTACTAGATAGGCATTATGTAAAGTGTTTGAAAGAAAAACAAAATTAGAAACATATTTGGTTTTCAAGCTGTATATTACTACACCGAAGTTGCACTTTTTTTGTCAAAAAGATAAAGCCATGAAAGTAAATGATAGGAAAGAGTGAAAGCAGCTGAGACAGCAATGTGAGACTCACATCAGAACAAACAGAGGAGAATTCATGATTTTTTTTTCAGCATGAAAAACATCAGGATGAACATAGTCTTATTACAGCATGAACATGCTTGCTGTTTTGGCCGCCTGTCAGTTTATAATATTATTCTTGAAGATCCTAGGACAAACTTCCACTCCACATCAGCTAAATTATCTTCTCTACTTCAAGACACATTGTAAACACTTCTTACCCTAGAAAAATGTCATGACTACCAGCGAAAG